GGCGATTTGTATCCCAAGGTTATTTACAAGTCGTTCTTACAAAAAAAATAGAATTTCCAAATTTAATCAACTCTGGGCTTTTTTTGTGTAGATAAGTCTAATTCATCATCGAATTTTCTCTTACTCGAATCTAAAATTGAACTTTCGCAGTTTAATAGGGGTGTATCTGAAGAGTTTTCTGTGCACGAAGGTACACCTTCGTGCTGTGTTACCAGACTGACAGAACTTCCTTCTGACTTTTCAGATTCTAAACTTGAACAATCAACTTCTTGGGTCTCCTTATCTGGTATATGTGCAACAATCAGTGGTTGCAAGGGTATTTCTGCTGAATTCTCGTCTATATTGGCAATAGGGGATCGATTTCTTAGCACCGAATTTTCGTTCAGAAAGTTACTCCTCTTAATTCCGTTAGAACGAAACCGTTCTTCATCTTCTATACTTTCCACAATGGGTGATACATTATCATTAGAGAAATTCGGTTGTGAATCATTACTGTTTGAGTTATTTTCAGGAATGTGTACATCATTCTTCTTTGTATCGTCAACAGTTAAATAGTTTGATGATAAATCGAACATATCTGGTGGTGGTTCACTTAACGAACTACACATTGCTCCGCCCAAAGTGCAAAGACCGCCATCCATAAAGCTAGAACTTACGGGCGAATGAGATCTTTTATCATCATTGCTTTCGACCCTTTCGTTATCTTCCTCCTCTAACTCTTTAGGTTTGTCGTTAATGACAGTTTCTGTTTGCGATTCAACAGCTATTGCCTTTTCTGAATCGTCTGTTTTTTCGGTGATAGTAAGTTCAGATTCTTCGTTCAAGAGAGGCATCGAAATTGGAGGATTGCCAAACGCCTTTTGATTCATCTCGACGGAATCATCGAGATTGGGCAAAGAATACACGTATGAAGGGCTGTTCATTTCGGTCGAAGAGACAGATATGCCCTGATCAGCTATGGTCAGAGGAAGGTCCAAGTTGTTTTGTAACTCAGCTGCCATCAATGTGGCAACTTGTTGCTGGGCAACAGTTTGGGAAATGTTTGGATCGGTTATTGTGATTGGAAGATCCACGTTTTTTGGTACTTCCGTTGTAAGAATATCGCTTTCTTCGTCTGGAATTTTTTTACTGTTGGAACTTGGCACCTCCAGTGGGGTCATTATCGGTGAACTTAACGTGAGACTTGTTTCCAATACGTTTCCGACATTCATAGGAAATAATGTGCTGTTTGGACTTAGTTGGGATTGGGACAGTTTACTTTGAACAGTCGGTTGCTCTTGTTGAAACACGTCCGTGTCAGCCAATGCAGCCGCTAATATGTCTTGGTTCTTGTTCGATTGTGTTGCAAAGATTGGGTTTCCGCCACCTTCAGTGCTTTCTATGGCCATATTTCCAGTGTTAACTGGTAAAAGTAATTGATTCTCAGATTCTGTATTGATTAATATTTGTTGTCCGTCTGTGTGAATGAGAATGTTTCCTTCGGTACCAGCTAACAAATTTGCGAGGTCAGTATTACCCTCTGTTAAAGACTCTATGAATTTTTGTGTGCTGATAGGATCGCCAGATATAATCAGTTGTTGGTTATTACCAGTGTCAACGCTGCATGTTATTGTTTGATTATCTTCTGTTCCAATGGGGACTGCTGGTGCTTCTACTGTAGATGGTAAAGTTAATGTACTTGATGTATCAGTTACAGCCACTGGTACCTGTTCTACTTGAGATAGAGGAAGAACAGGCTTTTGAACTTGTTCTTCTATAGAAGGTTTTAGTAACTCAGTCTTAGATTTCTCCTTTCCTTCAGGTATTGAAGCAGGTGCAGGAGCTACAACAACTCCACGATCATCGACTTGTAAAACGATGTTGCTTAAATCCCCTCCACCAATAGCAAGGTTGGGATCTAAAGATAGCAACGCTTCGTTATTTAATGGTGTTAAATTTCCCGACTTGTCTAGAGATACTAGCATATAAGATTGCGTTTGGCCGTCAACGGTTTCACTCGGAAGAGCCAGTATTTGTCCTTCAGTTATGGTCATTTGATTTCCAAGAGCGTCCTGTATGATGAGTTCATTTAAAGGACTTTGTTCTTTCGGTTTTTCTTCAGTAGAGAATGTTGGCTGTTCCATTTTAGTTTCCTCAACATGTGTTACTTTACAAGATTCAATTTTTGTTGATGAAGATGATAGAGCAGTTAAGGGGGGTGGCATATCTGAATGTAGCGTTGCACTAATTGTTGCTGTTAATGGTTTTTGTAGAATATCTGATGTACCGGGCTTTTTTGGATATGAACGTTTTGTAGGAGATTTACTAGTTTTGCTAATCGTTTCTATTTTGTTTTGTGTTTTAAGAGCAGTAAAACTGCTGCTAGCTTTGATTGCTTGAACTTGTTCTTGTACTTGTTGCTCCAAAAGGGCGTCGTCTGTTCCTTGAATCTTTTTAACAATCTGCCCTTGTTGATTTTTTATAACAATTGTCTTTGAAGCACCAGCACTTTTTAGTGCTTCTTGCAAGCGTCCCTTCGCAGCAGGCATTTGAATTTTCTTCCCGCCTGCCTTGCTTACGTCTGACTTAGAGATTCGCTGTTTTGCTTGCGTGATTGGTATAAGCACCTGTCCACCAGAGGAGATGAAAGTTTGATTTCCAGCAATGGCTTGAGCTTTGGTGTTTATTGTGGTTTGAGCGATTATGTTTCCAGAATGCTGACTAACAATTGCTGGAAGACTTTTACTTGATTTTGTCATTATACCACTTTTTAAAGCAGCTTTGGTTAGTTTCGTGTTCGGCGATTGGTATCCGATCATCTTTTGTTGTGCTGGAGTTAGCAGAACTCGTTGCTGTTGTCCCTGCTGATTTGTTACAATCATTATTTTGTTCCCAACAGGTTCGAGAGTTTCTGATGTTGCAGGAAGAATAACTGATTGTTTTGCCAATTGCTTTTTCCCTGCAATAGTTTTCGAAGTGCTAGCTGCATTTGGTGAAACTATAATGAATTTTCCTGGTTTACTAGGCTGACTCATAATTGCCGGAGAACTTTTTATAATTTTTGAAGATGCCACTTGATAGTTTTTCTGACCTTTGGTTATCTTTTGTGCAGAAGCGTACGTTCGTATTATGGTTGGTTGAGATGTAGTAATTGTAGGGATTTTGTTGATGGTTTTTACCTGTGGTGTTGATTTTTTTACTACAGTAACTTTTTCTGTAGCGATTTTTGGGGTTACGGATATAGCGGTTTCCGATATAACAACTGGCATGTTTTCTATAGATTCAGGAGTTAGAATTTGATCTCCTAATACTATAGGCATTGAATTAATATCAAATACAGAATCCTCTGATTGTTGTGTTTGTGCAACAGTTGGTTGGATGACATCTCCAGCAGGAGTTATGATTGTTTGTTGCAAAATTTTTGCCTTACCCCGACCTTTTGGTGTTGAAACGGTTTTTTTAATTACAGGGGTAGCGGTTGAGAATGTCGACTGTAAAGGTAAATCTGAATCCAAAGCTAATTTTTTAGTTGGCTTCTGTATTATGTAAGTATCAATATCTTCGATGTCTTTATTAGTTCGTTTAGATGTGACCTTCTGAACAGATACAGTTTCGGTTGCCGAAAAAGGTTTCATTATCTTTTCGGTAAATATGGCAGGTTTAGGGGTTTTTGTTACCGAAGGTTTTCTTTCAGGTACTGTTGATTTAACAACGCTCTTTGTGCTCCTTATTTCTTGTGGTTTCGTTTCTTGAACATATTTTGTTTCTTTAATAGAAATGGTCGGTTCTGACAATTTAATTTCTTGAATATGTTTGCTATCCTTTGAGGAAGTGATATGTGTTTTGGAAAGCGGAATAGCAATATTCTCATTGGCAGGTGCAGCAAAAGATTTCGTTATACTCTTAGAATTGTCAGTTAAAATTTCAAGCAGTTTTGAAGAAGTCATCGCCTGATCAGATTCTGTGATTGATTTTGATTGTACAGAATTTTCCTTGTTACTTGTTATTAATGAAGTCATTTTGTCCTCCAGGTCATTAGCATCAGCATCTGTGAAACGGCACATATCAGATGTTGATTTTTTTGTAACATAGGGTAGTTCTTCAGGAGGAATTTCTGTATTAGAAGATTCCATACATTGTTTTGATTTCGGTTTTTCGATTATTTCTGATTGTTTGCCATCTGTAAAATCTACAGAGAAATTTGTTAATGTAACTGGCTTAGATTCAGGTGTATTTACTATTTCCACTTGAACATTTTCTAAGTCCGTTTGAGAAACAACAGTAAGATTAGCTTCGATTGCTTTAATTTTTTCAAGACTTGTCTGTTCCTCTAAAGGGGGTGATAGTTCGGATACAGCTGCCAAAGTGGACAAGGCGGACAATTCTTCTTTTTCATTTGCTGGAGTCGTTACAAAAACACTAGCCAAGACCTTATCGGTTTCTTCAATTGATCGTCGTTCGGAGCCATTTAAATCTGTTAACGATTCAGTATCGTTTTTTTTCGTGGAAGTATTACTTTGTATATCTTCTATTTCATTTTTTATTCCAGTTTGGCCTTCTGTCAAAGTTTCCTTCGAATCATTACTTACTTCTATCGTTTCGACGAGAACTTTTTGTGGTTTTTCACTTAAGTTTTCAGAATGTTCCTCAGAAACTACGATTTCATCAGTTTTCTTAACAACTTCATCTTCACTTGGAGGTTTGATAATTGGTTGAAGTTCATTATCTTTATTGACAATCGATGGTTCTGGAGGCGCTACAACTTCCTCTTGAATTTCAAGGGGTACTTTATTAACAATTTCATCTTCTTTTTCTGGTTTATCCACGTTAAATGCTTCAATTTTGGAATTTTTCGATTCTCCATGCATATTTTCTCCAACTAAGTTCTCTTCTGATAAGTCAGATGGTTCATTTTTATCCTCAAGTTCTTGTAAAGGTAGTTGTTCACTTGACGTTTGCTTTTCAGAAATAACTATTTCATTGCAGACGCCGCTTGCAGTTTCAGTAATATTTGTACCACTTAAATTTTCTGGCACAGAGACTTTATCTTTTTTCTCTTCAATAATTTCAGCGTTCAAATTTTCATTTAAGTTAACAGTAGAGGTGTTATCCAAAATTACCGACTCTTCAATGGTAGTCCGTTTAGATTCCAATACACTTTCTGAATTATCAGCAAAAATAATATCAGACTTCAGTGGTTCAATGATGCTCATTGGTTTTCCAAACGTTTTCTTCTTTTTAGGAGTCACTGTCATAATATCAACGTATTCTTCCAAAGATTCTTGCAAATCAACGTTCATTTTATTATCGTCAGTAATATTTTCAATTAAAATACCGCTTGTAATGTTTGATTCTTCCTGATTTAAAGGCGACTCATTAAATTCTAATTTATCAGCATTTTGTATATCCATTTCTTCATATGTATCTAAATCTTGATCTCGTTTTGTTTTTCTTGTATTTCTTCTTTGACGTGAACTTTTCTGTGATTTAGATACCTTTTTCTTAGATCGTTGAATACTGTTACTACTTAATTCCTCTTGAACAGCATTGGTAGTCGTCTCAATTAATTTATCTCCTTCATTCTCCACTACTAATTCCTCGTTGTCGTTTATCTGTTCAATATGAAAATCGACTGGTTTTGATGCATCTGTATCATCTTTTGTATGTGAAGACGATTCCTCGTTATAAGCTAGATTATCAATTTCTTTATCGAAAGAAGTCAAAACCACATTATCAGTTTTAGCTTTCTGTTGGTGTGCCTCTTCATGTATGTTAGTATGGCTTTCTTGTTCTTCAATTGACGGAATTTCACTTTTGTGAGTATTTTCAGAGAGACATTTCTGTCTTAAACTTTGTTTATTGACGGTTCTCTGTATGGAAGTTTTTGGAAATTCGATTTCTTCTACCGTAGGAACGCTAACTGGACTTACAATAGATTTGTCATTTCCTAAGGGTTTTCCATCTTGAGAAGACTGATCGATGTTATCAGGAGTAGACGGTTTTGGAGCGTCAAGATACGCTAATCTACTTCGATATTTCACAGAGTATCTCCCTTGCCTTCTGCTGTACAGATATTTCTTAAAAGGAACGTTTCCTTTGGCATTATTGTTTTCCACCACTTTTGTCAAAGTGATGTTAACTTCTCCGTGATTTTTTGGTATGATTTCGATTTTTTTACGAACCAAACAATCTTGACTGGTGGAGTTGGAACTACAACCATCATTGGTGTTCGTTTTTCCTAGTTGTTCCTGTTTATCAACTACAATAGCATCTGAAGTTTTATCTTGTGCTTCGAATTCCACTGGACGTTTTGCTGCTTTTTCTGCTACACTTCTTGTGGATGGTCCTGTTTGCTCACTTGTCTCAGTACATTTTTGAGGGGTCCTTTTCATTTCAAATTTTTTATATTTTGGTATGATTTGGTCCTTTTCTTCAGTACTTTCTGCTAATTTTGTCCTTAATTGAGACTTCAATTTTAACACTTCAAGGCCTTTTGCTTCCTCTGATTTTTCAGTATTTGATTCTATGTCAGTTTTAGCATTTTGATTTTCTTTAGACGAACTGTCTGGAGTCTCTTTTAAACCGGGCTTTTCTATTATATCTGTTAAATTATTACTTGTATTGTCTCTTAAACTACACTTATCTATTACATCTGTTAAATTACTTGTATCGTTTCTTGAATTGCTTCGACGTTTTTCTGATTGTACAGAAGGGTTATCTGCGTTTTCTGGCTCTTTCTTTTCTGACTTCTTTTTTTCTTCCATTTCTAAATCTTCAAATGCCTTAACAAATCTTTTTTTTGGATTTGTATGTTTTGTGGCTGTTTCGTTTGATTTCGTCCCTTCACCTGGGTACAATTGTGGTGGTTCATCTTTATCAGGAAATTTTTTCATTTTAGCCACTGGAAAATTTTGCTCTTCTTTCAACTGGTCGGGCACATCTGGAACGGAGGGTACTGCAGTTGACTTCATAAGTTCTTCGAATTCTTCGAAATTTGGAATATGAGATTTCCGATTATATTTGTCAGTTTCTGCAGCTTTCAATGAGGACTTTTCATTCAATTTGGACTTTCTTTGTGTTTTTTTAGGTTGAATTTCAATAAGTTCTGGTTGTTCCAAGTCACTTGCTGCAGAACGACTTGTTGAAGGTGAACTGATTTCAAAAGACTCAGAAGTTGAATCTTCTCGTTTTTCATGACGTTGTTTTCTACTTCTCGATTTATACCGACTTGTTTTTTCAATACTTTCACACTCTTGTACATGTGGGGTTGCTTCAGAAAATTCTTGTTCAGAAATTGAATCCAATATTTTAGAATTCTCAGAACCTTTTTGCTCCGAGTTTTGATCAACTGTTAATGCAATTTTACTTTCAGTTACATCAGACGTTTCTTCGTAATTTTCCTTTTGAGAAATTGTAACCTCCTTTTCTTTGCTACAATTGTTTTCCTTATTTTCATGTAATTCTTTAGTTTCGTCAGCAAAAGTGTTATTTTTTAATTCAGTTTTCTTGCTATGAGATGTTTCACTGTTCTTGGTTGCTTTACGTTTCTGTTTACCTTGTATTATTTCATTAACAGTTTCAATTGATTCTTCATTATCATTTTCTGTCTCTTTGTTGACAGATATGTGCTCTTCTGAGCCTTTTGATGATTCTGCAATATTCTCTTCTTTTAAACTGCTTGATATTTCTAGAGAATCAGTCGACTTGGAAGTATCATTTTTGCTGTCAGTAGACGGATTTCTTATCTTCCCAATGTTGATATTTTTCTCTTCCTCTTCATCAAAATCGAAACAAGATTTTTCTGCACTTTCATTTGCATTGACCTCTTTTTCTTTTTCTTGTGTTTTTTCCTCTGAATCTTTCTTGATAATTTGTTCTTTCATACTGCTACTAGCAGTATTATCAAATTCTTCTTCCTCTGCACTATCATTGTCCCATTCTGCAAGAATATCTTGAGAGGGGTTGTGCGTGGGCTTTTTTGGCACCGGTTTTTTTGACTTTGGAGTCTTGCGACGTTTCTTTACTTTAGGCTCATCTTCAAGTTCGTCATAAAATTCCTCGTCGCTAGTATCTATAGGGACGATACCTTGTTGAAGTAAAGCCAAGTCTTCATCAAATGAAGATGTTTTCGAATGGGTCATTCGAATACCCTTTTTGGGCTTCTTTGGAGTTGATCGTTTGGTCTTTTTTCCAGTAGAAATGAGAGTGCTGTAGACACCTTGTATGTGAGATTTATTGTGCAGTACAATAACGCCAACTCTCGATGTTTGGAAGCCACAAGTAGGGCATGTATAGATATTATTTGGTTCTACATCTCTTTTTTCTTCTGGTGATTGGATCAAAATTCGGACTTGGTGGTCATCTTCACCCAGAAACCGAGGGTGGGTAATTATTGGCAGAGACCTTCTTAAACTGGACGTTGATGTAATTGTGTGAGTGGTAGGAGTTTCTGAAAATGTCAATGAAATATAATAAATATATGTATCTAAAACATAGTTTAAAAGATAATGTAATTCTCTACATTTCTGATAATATTGCAATGCATAATTACACACACACCTACACTCCTTAAACAAAATGAAAATAGAAATAGCCTTACTCAAGCTTCTTTTTCCACGTTTCTTCGGTGATTTGGTAGAAGCACCGAATATGAATGACGTATTAATTTTTTTCTCAGGTTCAAAAATGGGGCTGTCTATAATATCTGGACTTCCTCCTGTTTTTTCTTCAGCAGCAGAAACATCACCAGGAAATTTCTCCATAAATGGATACTCTTTTCGGTACATGTCTATAAACAAGTAAAGCACAAGCATAAGGAATTCTATATTATAAATTATAAATGAATACTTACCAAGCCCCTTCTTAATGAAATTGTTTTTCTTTGTGCAGTTGTACATATAAATGTTGTTAAGGTCTTTGACAATCTCACTGAAAAATTAAGATGTATATAAGTAAATTAATATAATAATACAATTGAAACACAACAAAAGCAATAATGCTAAATAATTGTTATGCATTTTTATAGCAATTAATATGTACATGTAACTATAACGTTAGTTTATGCATATGTACATATATTATTTACAAAAAGAAAACGCTAACTGATAATTTAACACCAATGTATCGATTATGAATTAATATAACTGAAAAATTTCCTGAATAAACAAAGTTGTTCGTCACATATTGCAAGTTTCTTAATAGAAAGCAAATGACTTTTAATGATAATACTTAAGATAAGTACTTACTAGGAGTCTTCCTCAAAGAACTTTACAGCGCAAATTGATTTGTTTTTTAGTTCGGCGAGTTCTGGCGGCACAGAATCCCAATCTTTAACCTCTCCAGGCCACCAACATGAACGTAATTTTACCCAAACAATATCTCCACTTTTATAATCCACAGGCGTTTGTTCACACATTTTGAAAGTTTCTTTTATATCCTTAAGACACTAGGATGTATACTTATTTCTGAATGCAGAAAAAGAAATTATATTCTACACTGGTTAGTTGTTGATTTTATAAATAGCTTCCATTTGTTTCCTTTAAAAAGTACACCATATTGTCTATATTCCCCAAACAGTATCAAAATTATAGTTTTGCAGTATCACGACGATACTTCTTCAATTTACATCCCTATTTTAAATTGTTTATCATTAAAAAAAGTATTCAGCACCTTCACTTGTCATAGTCGTTCATGTTTACCCATAATGCACTGCACTTTTAGCGTCTAATAACAAAATGTACGCAAAATTAAATATTTTTTAATTTAGAAACAGTAATTATCAAATAATTCAGTTTTAGGCTTCACAAATTGTTGCTTCATCCATTTTGGTTTCATAATAGATCATATTTTTAAGAAATGTAAACAAGAATTACTGCCTAACACAAGCGAGAAAACGCTTACAATATTGTTACACCGTTGCCAGCTGTATTTCTTTGTATTTCAACCATTTTTATATTAGAATATGAGAACAAAGATAACCTACTAATAATAAATTAGCCTTTTTATGAAAACTAAAATGGCGGATAACGGATAGCCCCGCTAATTTAAAGTTAATTATTTGTAGTAATGTCGTTGACAACTCTAATATTGTCTTTAATTTGCTTTTTCATTCTGTTGTACAATCAAAATAAATGTAAAGAATACTTACATTGCGTTTTGGCGTTAGATACATAACCTCACTTTAATTTTATTAATATATTTAATAAAATAATTTGCACGTTTTTGTGAGAAGCGGTGAGTTATGAAAACGTTGAAATATTCATGTTAATTGAAGTAAAAATAAAACAGGGAACCTACGACAAATTTTGTTGATTTCTTTTTTTTTTCTTTATTTTGGCTATTTATTGTAGTGAAAATAGCAATAACGAATTCGAATTGGCAATGGTGCCTAACGACGCAGATATGACGTAGGGTATATAACGCGGCAAATTTTCTTAGCATTCAAAAAGATAATTTAAAAAGTTTTATACAAATTGAATTACTGATCTAAATTTTATAATAA